CCAGTAATTCTAGGACTTGGGAAGCTGAGGCAGGCCAATCACCACAAGTTCAAGACTAGCCTCAGCTACACAGTGAAGCCAAGGTCAGCCCAGACTATATAGTGAGACCCTATTCCCCTCAACCCCCACAAAAAGTATATGAACAAGAAGTAGAAGATAATATGTAAAATATTTTTATGAGTAAATTACTTTTTAAAAATCATTTTATATTGTCATATTCTAAATAAGTTTTAAAAATCAGCCATTACTTAATATTCACTGTATCACTGAATACATAGTAAAAAATACTGAGAAATGTCTTTTTTTGCATTTTAGGGAAGGGTCTACAGGATGTTCAAGATCTCACTACTAGGGGGCTGGAGAGATGGCTCAGTGGTCTAAAGCACCTACTTGGAACAAGCTTGATAAAGCACAGGGACCGCGGTTTGATCCCCCAGCACCACATGCCAGCCAGCTGCGCCCCCTGGTGGGCTGAGCTGGCCACACTCACACACACACACACACACACACACACACACACACCCCAAAATAAATGTTAATATATAAATAAATTAAAAAAAAAAAAAGATCTCACTACTAGATCAGACACTTAGTGATCCACCTGTTTACAGCCTCCCAAGAGCTGGGATTTTAGGCACGTGCCACCACGCCCAGTCTCAATCACTGTCTCAGTGCACTCAGGACCAGCATAGCAGGCCTGAAAATCAAACCCAGCCCCTCCTTAGTCCTGCTTGCAGAGGCTTTAATCTGCTGAGCCATTTGGCCAGCGAAGAAATCTTAAAAATCACTTTGCCTTTTTAATTCCTAAAGTCTACAGAATATGTTAAGATTCACTAGTTTTTATCTTTTTGTGGGGGGGGAGATGTTCTTTGTTTTATGCTTTGGAGTATCATACTAAGGACTGTGCACAGGGAGCACTGAGCAACTTAGGTCCCCAGATCTTGAGTCAGGGTCTCACTACATTGTCCAGGCTAGCCTCACACTTTTGATCTTCCTGTGTCAGCCTTCCAAGTAGCTAAAGTTATATAGTTTAAGACACACAGAGGTGATAGCTCAGCAGCAAAAACAACAGCCTGGCAAGTGCAAGGTCCTGAGTTAGAGCCCCCATACCAAAACAAAACAAAGCAAGACTCATAGCTGTGACATGCGTTTGCCTTTACTACAATGTTGCGCTTCCAGATGCAATAAAAGTCAAAGAAATCAGATCATAAACTCCTAAGGTCAATCTAATTAATCTAGCAATGAATAAATATAAAATGCCTTTTAACCATTAACACTATGATTTAAATCACATGTAGAAGAATCAGCATTTCAGGAGAATCTCCATCTTTTGAGACAGCCTCTGGCTATATAGTTCAGGCTGGTCTTGAACTCAGTAATATAGTCCAGCTGCCCTCAAATTCAAGCGATCCTCCAGCCTCAGCTTCTGGAATGCTGGAATTACAAGCATCAGCCACAACGCCTTGCTCCAAAAATCTCTTTTTTAGACTTGTAAAAAAAAAAAAAAAAAAAGCTCAAAAGGATCAGTCATGATTTTTTAAAAACGTTGCCTCCGTTGGCCTCAGGCCACAAAGCTTAAGAGTTCTCCCAATAGGTGCAGGCCTGTATTCCAGCACTCAGGACCACTTGGATTTTGAGGACATCATGGGCTAGTAGTGAGTTCAAGGCCAGCCTGAACTATGAAACCAGACCCTGTCTCAAAAAGCCAAAAGAGGAGTTCCTCCTGCCCCAGCTTTCCACACAGCTGAGACTTCAGTTGTGTATTACCAAAATTCATCTACATATACTCAAAACATGGCTAGGGAGGTGAATAAGAAGAGGTAGAGCATTCCTGATGCTCTCAGAATGCCAAAAATCAACAAAAATTTATGGTTCACCTTTAGGGTGTCAGGAGCTTGGCTCAGTGGCAGTGTTTAGCAAATTCAATCCCCAGAGAGAGAGAAAGAAAAAAATAAATAAAATTATACAGAGGACTGCCCAGGAAACAAGTTGTATACACTAACAAGAAAAGAATAGAAGCAGTTAAATGAGTCTGTTTATCTCACTACACTTCAGGTTTTGTGTTTATCTTTAAAAAAAAAAAAAAAAACTGTTAGCCGGTCCTGGTGGTGCAAGTCTATAATCCAGGCACTTGGGAGGCTCAGGAAGGAGGATCTACAAATTAAGAGACCAGCATGGGCTACAAAATCAGCTCAAGGACAGGCTGAACTGTATTAAAGAGACCCTATCTCAAAAAAGAGACCAAAAAACAAAACCTGTTGCATTAGAAAATAGCCAGGCATGGCAGCACACACCTGTAATCTTAGCATTTGGGAGGCTGAAGCACGAGAATCATTTGAGTTTTGAGGCCAGCTTGGGTTACATAGTGAGGTTAAGGCAGGGTGAAGTATGTAGCCAGACCCTGTCTCAAAAAACAAAAGTGATACAAAGAATTAGTGGAATACACTCAGAGACATTTCTAGAAAAATGGATGCACCTTGAGTTCATACTCTTAAGTGAAATAGAGCACACACATGTAAATACTGCATTATTTCTCTGGTGAGAAACTAAAAGTGTAAATAAGGACCAAATGTATCACAGGAACTATAGAATAGGAAGCAAACATTCAAATGGGGAGGGGAGGGAGGAAGAAAGTAAAGATAAAAGTAACAAAAAAAAAGGAATCATGGAAACAAAGCTTTTTGTAAATAGTGAGGGAAGGAGGGATTGAAGAGAGGATAAGGAAATGGGGGGGGAGACAAGTTATGTCATGCACAGATACAAATTCTCCATGATGAATGTGATCTATACCAAAATATACCAAAGCCAGGCATGGGGTGGTAGCACATGCCTGTAATCCCAGCACTTGAGAGGCTGAGGCAGGAAGGATCACTGTGAGTTGAAACCAACAGAGATCACAAAGTAAGCTCAAGGCTAGCCTGAACTGCATAGACAGACCTTGTCTTAAAGACATAAATAAATAAATATAGCTCAGCAGACTAAAGCTCCTGCTTAGGCAGAGTGCAGTGGCCAGGGCTTGACCCAAGGCATGCCAGCCCTGCCCCCAGGGCAAGTTTAGATGTGGATTGAGACTGGGTGTGGTAGTGCACGCCTGTAATCCCTGTTTGGGAGGATGAAAACAGGAGGATCACTACTCTATATGTAGTGAGACCCTGAACAGCCTGTAGACACTGCACCAAATACACTAAAGTAAATAAATAAATAAAATTCCTTTAGGGGGGCCTGCCCATTAGCTCAGTTGTTTAAGTGCCTGCTTAAGCAAAGTATTCAGGCTCATTATACTGTGGTTGGATCCCCAGATCCTCATGCTTACCAGACCTGCACTTAAGGCATCCTGAGAAAGCCAAAAAAATAAATAAAATATAATAAATAAATATACAAAAACTGAATAAAGCATTCTTGGGGACAGTAATTCATAACAAACTATGTCACCTTAAATAATCTCTAGGAAATTGAAAGATAGGATTAATATTCACTTCTCTATGTGATTCACTTCAAAGATTATTCATATAAACATAATGCAGCAATATTAACTTATATGCCAAACAACCTTCTAATTTTCTTCCACAGACATTGGGAAATGCACTTTAATAAGCCAAACAAGTTTCAAGATTTGGAAAGTAATCACCCCAGTTTTACGACACTTTATTTTACCAACTTCAACGGGTCACACTTCATGCCACAAGACAGTTAAAACATCCAACACAGAATCAGTATTGCCGTGAAAAGAAAAAAAATAAAATTAATTTTAATAAAACTGGAACTTGCACATAACCTATAGTGATGAAAATAATGCAAAATTGTACACAACCCTATCTTGCACGTCAAATTCTAACAGTGGAGTCCTTCACTGTGTCTGCATTTAAAAAATGATTTTGACTACCAGTGAAGTACAGACCCGTTAAGAGGAGGGAACTCAATTCTGACCTCCTTCCAAAATGACAAACTAGAACGTCAAAATTACACTCAGGCACATGGAGTACTCTTCCCTCAAATCACTCCACAGAGAACTCCATCATTTGCTCCGCCCTCTAATAACTCTTGCAAAAAAAGTTCAGCACTATCAGAGAGAAACAAACACAGAATTTACAGAATGGCTTAGGGCCTTTCCTCCAGGCAGTCATAAGTTCTGCGTGTGCCCTACTCGGGGGTCCTAAGAGAAAAGAAAAAGAAACCCCAGGCCTAAGGTTTTTTGGGGGGTATACCGAGCCCCAGAAACATCTCGCTCAGAGAAGTTTCTGCCGCCATCCCAGTTTTATCAGCAGGAGGCTCTGGCGCCATCGTCTTGGTCTTGAGGATTTTATGATGGGGAGGTGGGAAACGCCACAGAGGGTTCCACTAGGCCTACCCCGCGGAAGCTTGGGGGGTTCCCGCTCATTCTTCTCCCACAGCCTGAGTCCCCAAGGTGCTCCTGGGCACCCCGTTTCTGGCGGGTGGTCACTCGGGCGTGCAAAGACACTGGCGACCCCACCGCACCGCCGACCGGGCCGTAAGCCTCCAGAACAACCGCGAGGGTTCCGGGGGGCCCCAAAAGGGACTGGCGGGCCGGAGACCTGGGAGGGTGACCTGGCCGGGGGAGAAAGACAGGGACAGAGAGCAAGAGAGCCCCACAGCTCCTTTCCCGCTGCCCCGGTAGCAGAAGGAGCAGATGAGGAGCAGGGCGGTGGCCCAGGCGCGGCCCCCCACCCTTCGCCCAGGTCCCAGGCCGGCGGTGGGGACTCAGGCTCTGCCCAGCCCCCGCTCAAGAGCTGGCAAGGGGGCGTGGGGGGTCTCACTCCAAACTGCCAGGAGACCAAAATGAGGGGCTGGGAGCGCCACGGGCGCTGACTGCCGGCCGAACCCAAGACCCCGGCGCCGCCGCCGCCGCTTCCTCAGGAGGGAGGACGCGAGACGCGGGGGAAGCCCGAGGGAGGCGCGCACCGGGGCAGGCGAAGCCGGGGTCAGCCCCGCCGCCTGCTCCGGGACCCCACTTTCTACCTTCCGGTAACCGCATCGCTCACCCGTGATGGCAGTGAACTGCTGGATTAACCCCTTCAGCGCCGACGCCGCCGACGCGGAGCCCCCGTGGGCAGCCATCTTGCCGCCGCCGCTGCCGCCGCCGCCGCCGCAGCCGCCGCCGCCGAACAACAACACAGACACACACACGGCCGCCTCCCCCACCTCGCCGCTCCCAGTGCGCAGGGGCAGCGGCCTGAGCGCTCCGCCCACCTAGGCCCCGCCCCTCGCAGGCGGTCTGCGCAAGCGCGCTAGCATCAGCCGTACCCCGCTCGGTCCCTGGGTCGGAGCGCTCGCGGCTCTTTGCTTTGGGGCTGGGTTCCCGGTTGATGACTGCTCTCCGCATCCTCTTTGCAACCACCAATTCCGCCTTCTCTCGGCTCCCGGGCCCATCCCAATTCCCAAGGGAAGCATCAGTCTTGTCAGGTGATAGGTTCTATGAATTTCAGCTTCGCGAGCTTTGCTACCAGACCCAACTGTCGATAGCAATTTTGGTTTTCTTTCCTTTTAGGTTTGGTCACCCCCTGTACTCTGCTGCGTTTCCTGCAGCTCCCATTCAAAATAAAAATACTGGGCTGGGAGCTTGACTCAAGTAAAGCACTTTGTGGGATCCTGAGTTCAATCTCTAGTACCACACAAAAACAATAAAAATAAAACTATCCTCGAGTTGGCTACCTGGTGTGGCCTTCCATCCAGCAGAAACAAAATAATGTACCCGTTACCCTCCTGTCATCCCTCTGTCACAAAGGCACGGGGTGCAGGAACTGACACAAAGTAGATATGTAAACGACTGGGTGTGGTGGCACACGTCATCCCAACATTCTGGAAGGCTGAGGCAGGAGGATTGCTACTAATCTAAGGCCAGCCTGGGCTACATAGTGATTTCAAGTTCAGTTTGAACTGCATAGTGAGACCCCCGTCTCAAAATAAACAAGCAAACTAATAATAATAATAATAATAATAATAATAAGTACAATAAAAGAAAGTGAGGTAGGAGCACCAGAGTATAAGCCTAGCAAGCTCGAGGCTCTAGGTTCAATCTATGTCACAAAGACAGACAGAGGGGATTGGAAGAGGGGAGAAAGGAAAGGAGCAGAGGAGAAGGGAGGGGAGAGGAGAAAAAGGGAGGGAAGGGGATGGACAAACCAGGCAAGGTAGAGCCCTCACACTCTGTAATCCCAGCACTCTAGAAGGCTGAAGCAGGAGGGCAACCTGGGTGATTTAGCAAGCCCTGTTCTCAAAATAAAAAATGGTTGGGCATGTAGTACAGTGAGAAGACCCTGGGTTCAATTGAAAGTGCTGAAAAGAAAGAAGAAAGGAAGAAAATGAGATAAGAAACTTATATAATACAATCTTGAAACCCTCTTTGGATTATTAAAGAATATGAAAAGTACTTAGAATCCCAAGTAAATATACTTCAGCACTCCCTAAAATAATGAAAAATGTGAGGGAGGTGTTGTTTGGAGACAGGGTGTCCTTATGTAGTTCAGGCTAGCCTTGAACTCACCATGTAGCCCGTGCTGGCAGTGATCCTCTTGAGTGCTGGGATTACTGGTGTGCAGCACCAAGCCTAGATCACACTGAATTTCTGTTTGTATTTTACCACTCTGATGCCTAGGTTGTAAGACTCAAGAGCTAAGAACTGACTCCTTTTCTTTTTTCCTCTGCTTTTTACCCTATCAGAGGCATTAGGAATAATTTTGCTACATAGAAAGCTTGGCTCCCAGCAGCTTTAGTCAGAGGCCACTTCTGTCTAACAAGGAACCTGCACGTCAACATCCCAGCTCTGAGTAGAGGCAGGCAATCACTTGTTAGTCTCTGTTTGTGTTTCAGATATGGCTTCTCTGTGCCAGCCGTCACATGGACAGTCTACACCACAATGAGGTTTTGAAGGCAGAAACAGTGGGAAAGATCAAGTAAAATTTTCTAAGGAAAAAAAAATACATGTAAGATTACAAAAATTTCCAAGCGGCCAAGCCTGGTGGCACACACTTGTAATGCCAGCACTTCAGAGCCTGAGGCAGCAGGATAGATTATAGATTTAGGACTTTAGGAATTGTCCATTCTAATAACAGTTTCATTTTCCATAGTTTCAGTCTCCTGCAATCAACTGCAGAGTGACCTCAAACCATCAATGCCATCTTCCTGAAGCAGATGTATTCTTTCTGACATCTTGGCAGAAGGACAAGGTCATCATGGCATCTGAGGGCAATACTCCTGGCAAGATGTCAGAAGGCCAACAGGCTGGGTGTGGTGGCACACACCTGAGATTCTAGCCCTACTCAGGAAGATAAAGCAAGAGGAGTGCCATGGCTGGGCTCCGTAATGAGTTTAAGGCCCATCTGGACTATACAGAAGGACCCAATCTCTATAAAAACAATACAAAAAAAAAAAAAAAAACTATATAGAAGGTCTATAGTAGTATAGTGCTTTGGTTGTTTTTATCTTGCAGATCTGAAGATCAGACTCAAGGCCTTGCATATTGTAGGTGAGTGCTCTCCCCTGAGCTATGTGCATTCACCTTTCTTGACATACCAGCATGAGATGAAAGGTAAATACAGTACACATGGCTTGTGAGACTGCATTCACAAACATGGTATTTTTTGGTTTTCCTTTTTGTTTGTTTGTTTGTTTGTTTTGAGTGAGGGTCTTGCTGTATTTTGCAGAGTGAACTTGCTCATGCAGCCCAGGCTGGCTTAGAACTCACTGTGATTCCTCGGCCTCCTCATCCCCCATGCTGGGATTAAAGGTGTGCACATGTATGGCATTCGTAAACTTGTATTATAGTATGTTATTGTCATTTCCTGTTCCTGCTTTGTGTGTGTATCTGTGGTACTGGAAATGGAACTCAGGGACTTTGTACTGAGCTACGCCCCAGCCTTTGAGAAAGGGTCTCTCTAAAGCATAAAGTTGCTGAGGCTTGCCTCAAACCTTAACAGCAATCTTTTTTTTTTTTTTCTATTTAGTCTACAGGGTTTCACTAGGTGGATCAGACTCATAGCGATTCTCCTGTTTTCAGCCTCCCAAACTGTGGGATTACAGGCGCACACCACTATGCCCAGTCTCAGTTGCCTTCTTAGTGTGCCCCAGGGGTGGGGCCAGCACAGCTGGGGGTCAAACCCTGGCCCGTGCACTGTGCCTAAGCAGGTGCTTTAATCCTCTGAGCTATCTGGCCGGCCCCTCACTATATATTTCAAGCTAGCTTCAAATTTGTGGCAATCGTAATGCCCCAGCCTCCTGAGTGCTAAGATTATAGGTGTGCACCACGACAACTGGCAACCAGGCCACCATTTTATAGTAGATTAAAATGTGTGCCAATTTGGAGAACTTTGAGGGCATTGCTACTTTGGTAATAGGCTAGGAGCATTGAATTCGCTCTGTTTCTGTAAAAGGGGACTCAGGTTTTCAAAATTCACCTTGTAATGTAGTTGTTATAACTATATTTATTTTCCATTACTGCTGTGACCAATTACTGTAAGCTAGGTGACTATAAAAACAGAAATCGTGGTCAGGCAGAGTGGTACGCATTTATAATCCCAGAACTCTGGAAGCTAAGGCAAGAGGATTGTGAATTCAAGGGCAGCCTGGATTATATAGAAAAATCTTGTCTCACAAAACAACACAACAGCTAGGAGAGGCATTACATACTTCTAATCCCAATATTCAGGAGGCTGAGGCAGAAGGATCAGGATAAATTAGAGGCCAGCCTAAACTATATAGTGTTAGAAATGAGTCCCCATATTCAATTGTGGTGCCAGAAAGAATGCACTCAGACAGCAAGGAAGAGGACTTAACAAGGTAAAATTTAAAGTTTACTTCTGCAGAAGGGCACCAGCACACTCATACACAAGGCAGCACCAAGCTTCTGGAAGGCAGGAGTTGTAAGCCCCAAAGCCTGGGAAATAGCTGACCTTTTTCCCATTGGCTGGGTTGGAGGATCACAGTCTCTCCCCATTGGCTAGTTTAGGCTCCATGAAGGGTGGGCCTGAGGAGTTGCTGTGCTGGGTTGCTAAGGGATGGAAGAGCTGAGGGAGAGGGTATAGGGAATACAAGGCCTTGGCTATTGATAAACTGTCTTGCTCTGTATTCAGAATTTGGATTGAGCAGGTATTTCCTGTAATTTCAGTGTGTGCCTGAGGAGCCACCTACATGAGAATAGAGTCTAAGCTGCAGGCATTCCTGTTATATCTGTAAGGTTCCTTCCTCTGGCACAAAAGAGAAGCAAGAGCAAGGTAAAGAAATCCTTCATGGGGGGAGGGAGATGGCTCAGTAGAATAAGCACTTCCCTGGCAAGCGCAAGGGCCTGAGTTCAATCCCCAGTTCCACAAAAAAAAAAAAAAAGAAAAAACGTGTGCTCTTCCAAAAAAGAAAGAAAGAAAGAAAAGAAATCCTTTATTGCTCGGTGCAGAGGCAGCATATCATTAGCTGCATGGCTCCCTGCACTATGCTGACTTGCAGCTATAATGACCTGGTGGACTGTTGGATGAGTGAAGACATATCCTTTCACAGAATGACAGGGCCGTGGTTTCTCCCAATAGTGAGACCCTGTGTCCAAAAGCAAACACTAACAAACAAAAAAACAACCCCACAACAAAACCCAAAAGTTGATTCTCTGGGTAGTTCTGGAGGCTAAAATTCCAATGTTGGCAGGATCACATTCTCTGGAAGGCTTTGGGGAGCTGTTCTCACCTTATCTTACTTTCCGACCCCTGGCAGTCCTTTGTGTCCCTGGGCTCACAGCGATGTCCCAGATGTCCCACAGCAGAAACCTTGCAGTCTCTGCCCTCACAGTCATCTGTAAGGACACTGGGGCCCCATTCTCTCAAATATGACACAACTGGTCCAAGGTGCCTTCTACCCATGCTCTTCATTCTGGTTATATCTGTAGTCACCTCACTTCCAAATGCAATAACATTCTGAGGTGATCAAGACTTCAGCCTTCGGGGTTTATTTGTGGGACATGGTGGTACGATTGGAAGCAAAGGAGTTCAATGACTTATTCCCTTCCCTTCCTTCAACTCTAAACAGCACACCACCCTGACGATCACCCAGGTTTCCAAAATCCTAACACTGGGAAGTTGTATGAGCTACTATCCTTCTCTTCATTCAACCACAAACACAACACCCCTCTAATGATTATCCA